CAGTGGCCCTCTGGCCTCTCCTGGGGCCTGGCTTCTGACTGTCCTTTCCTTGCTTTGATGGGTCTCTTGCAGTTTCCCTCCTGAGCTTGTCCCATGCATTTTGGGGCTCTGCGGGCTCTACCCACCCGCCTCTGCCTCCTTGCTCTGTGCACTCCTCCCGGATCCCCCGGACTCACAGGCTGTCTGGGAGGACTTCCAGGTCTCTCTGCAAACCTACGGGCTTCCTCTGAGCTCCCGGCCCCTTTCCACAATCACATGTCCCTGGCACCTGCAGATCAAGGCCTCTAACATTTTTTTAGCTTAATGAGGCATAATATATGTGCAGTGGGATTGGCCATTTAAAGTGGGCAGTTCTGAGTTTTGACCCCACTGTTGCCGTGATGATACAGAACATTCCATCACTCCCCAGTATCTCTTCCTGCCCGGTGCCTCCCCGGTCACCGGCAAATACCGATCAGCTTTCTGATGCTGTTTTGCCTTTTCTAGAATTTCACACAAACAGAATCCTATAGAAAGAATGTGGTCTTTCATGTCTTCCTCCTTTCACTTCGCTGTTGTTCATGCAGTAGTCCTTTGTCCCTTTTATCACTGAGTGGTACTCTGTTGTTTGGATGCATCATTTTTGTTTATCTATCTACCAGTGGAAGAATGAGATGCTCCAAACAAAACTTGCCTCTGTTTGAATTTAGGGTCTGCTTGGCATTGCCCAAAATGTCCCGAGCAAACCTCTAGCTTCTCCAAGCCTCAGACACTTAGGGACAGTGACCATTTGCCCCTAAGGTGGTCCAGAGAGGTCAATGAGCTCTGTGTCTGGTGCTCAATAGCTAGTCTTCGAGGAAGGTAGAGAACCTTCTGGAGCAGGTGGGGCACATATGCTCTACCTTATCTCACCACTGTAGGCTGGTGCTGCAGCTTGCTGGTCCTTTGCTCTCAAGGACTTCGATTCTGAACCCGGAGTTTGAGAAGAAACTAGATTCTCCACCTATTTCTTTCTGGGTTCCTGTCTTGCAAATTTGGAGACTAAAATCCACAGACAATAACAGAAGGTAAGAGTGAACAAAGTAGGATTTATTTGAGACAAAAAAGAGAGAGAGGGTAGCTGATAGCAAGTTTTTTTTTTTTTTTCCTTCCCATCTAAACTAACGAGTCTAAGGACATAGAATTTCCAGGTGGGGGCATTGATCAAAATTCATGCTAATCGGTATTGGAGAAGTGTTCAGGTGACTGGCTTGGTCTGCTACCCTCTGTCCTTCAGCATTTGAGTCTGAAATTTCTGGGAATTTCCATTTGCATCTGCTCTCACTTTCCATTTTTCCTGTTGCTCCAGGACAAAGGTGTTGGCTGGGATGTTTGGAATGTTTCTACAGGTTAACCTCAGGGAGTGGTCTTTACATTTGAAAAAAAAAAAAATAGCACCTGTGAAGCACTGGGTTTGGTCCTCAGCACCATATACAAATAAACAAAGCAAAGGTACTGAGTCCATCTGCAGCTAAAAAATAATTTTAAAAAATCTTAATTGAGTCCCTGACCCCATTGCCTGACCATTGACTGTCCTTCGTCACCAGGAACCTGCACTAGGTGGGTGGGTGGGGAAGGCTGGGAGAAACTGGCAAAAGGCCCCCCCACCCCCCACCCCCCGCGTGGGTCCTCACAGGTCCCGTGGAAACCTGCCTGTCCTGCTCTTGGATGTGACAGTGCAGCTCCCGTAGGGGCCCTGCCAGTCCTTGGCCCCACCACTGTCAGGGTAGCCCACAGCTTCTTGCTGCTCAGGTCACCCTGGGCGATGACCAGATGGCAGGGTGGGACATGCAAACAGCTTCCGGGAGCCCAGCACCTCTTTTCCTGAGGGTCTTCATGATGGCCTGGACCCCTGGGCCGGAGTGGCAGGCTGGAAGCAGACGTGCCTGGTGAGTGTTGGCTTTGGGAAGGGGACAGCCCTTTCTCTCTTCACCCAGAGCTGCAATCTGACTCCCCCAGGGGTCGTGGAGCTTTGGTAGTGGGACTTGGAGGGAGGAAGAAAAAAGGGTCAAGAACATTTTTACATATGGGTTGACATCATCAGTGTCCTCGATGTCATCACAGGTATGGCCTAGCGTGAATTTGGGGCTAGCTCTCTCTGCCAGGCACTGGATGGATTTTCTGCAGATTCCCCAGCTGCCTGAACCCTAGTGCCCTGGGTGCTGCTGCTCCACTGAGTAAGGATAGGCAGTCGGAGGCCAGGCCCACAGGGAGGCCAGGCCCACAGGGTGAAGGGCCCACAGGGGGGTCAGGCCCACAGGGCGATGGGCCTCAGTTAAGAATTTTTTTTTTTTTTCAAATGTAAAGCCCATTCCATGAGGTTCAACTGTAGAAACATTTGGACGTCCCAGGCGCCTCCTTCGTCCTGGACTGGTGGGAAGGTGCAGGACCTGAACCAAAGTTTAAGCTCAAGGGCTAAAGGAGGGCACAGCCAATCAGAAGGTCACAGGCCAAGCCAGAAGCCTTGGGAGTTTCCTGTTAGTGCTTAGCATGCATGCGGTTCCTGTCCTACCCGGAGGCCCTGCCTAGTGCCCTTGTCGGCACCTCTAGGTGGACAAACTTTCCATCCAAGTCTCTGGCCTTGCGAGGTTCGCTCTCTTTTCTTCTCTCTTAAATGAATCCTACTTGGTTCACTCTCGCCTTCCGTTATGGTCTGTGGATTTTACTCTCCAAATTTGCAAGACAGGAACCCAGAAAGAAACTGGTGAGGCAGAGAATCCAGTTGCATCTCAAACTCCGGTTTCACGTCTCTCCCAAATCCCCTCGTCTTTTCACACACACCCCTTCAGCCCTGGCCAGTGTCCCCTCCTGGGGCCACCCTGGGGTGAGGGCTCACAGACCAGAGGTTTCTTAGGGCGGAGCTCCCTGGAGGAGGCTGTGGGAGCTGGGAAGGAAGGAGGGGGAGGGAGGGGAGGGGTCAAGGCAACTGCCAGCTGGGGTGAGACCCTGGTGCAGGGGGATTCCTTTTGGACTTCAGGGTTCCTCCCAATTCAGGAGCCCGTGTGTGGGGGCTTGCGAATTCCCATGGCACTTGCCACTGGCCAAGGACTGGCCCTGGGAGACTGTGAAGCTGCAAAAGCCACACTAGTCACCCCAGGACAGACTGCCAGAGAGATTGCAGGGCAGCCTTTGAAGCAAGGTACCTGGAATCTTGGGGTGGCCCCATGGGGCACTGCCAGGGTCCCTAGCACCATCTTACCTGGGCTCTGGGGGCTGTTTTATTGCCCAAGTTTTTTCCCCCAGCAACCAGGACCTCCTGTTTACCCCGATCCTTGTGTTCAACCCCTAAAACTCCCCGAGGCCCATAAAGGTGTCAGGAGAGTGCCTTGGCCCAGGCCACCCCCGCCCCTGTTCCTCCCACACCCATCTCAGCCCATCAGCATTCACATCAACCTGGACACACACTTGGTGGATTTCCATAACGTTGTCAGCTGCCCGTGTAGAGCCAAGAATATATTTCCCCACTTTAGAGCGCTGGTAACTCAATTTTTAGCAATTTATTCCACAAAAGCAGACAGTAACTCAACTGGTGAAGCCGGGGGTGGGGTGGGGGGGGGAGAAAAGATCCTACCAACCCACCACTGTCTCTCTGTGCTGGCAATCAAAATGGAAATGCGTGGAATAGATTTCTGCAAGTAATAGGCTCGCCGGCAGACGTGTGAGCTGAGCTAAATGCCTTTTAAGTAAATCTCAGCGTGAGTTACCTGTTCACTCAGACTGGCACACGAAGACAGACAGTGCCCGCCGCAACTGTCATTATCCCACACTGGGGTTCTTTGTTAGTATCCACAGGCAAAGCGACTGCGTGTTTTCTGATCACTGTGACAGGTGGCTACCAGTGTGAGGTGGACGTGTCCACCCATCCTCCCATCCTTCCTTCCATCCATCCATCCATCCATTCATTCCCCAAACCTTTGCAGGCTCAAGATGCACCAGGCTTTGCTCTAGGTATTGGAGGCACAGAGACATTCAAACGAATCACACCTAGAATTGTGGTGAGGGAGAAACAGAGAGAGACAAACAGGTCAGGCAACAGAGTGGGACATGTAATGAGATGGGCGAGGTCATAGGCTCTGGAGTCTGACTGCTAATGTTGGAATCCAGCCTGCCACTTACCTGGACAAGATGCTCATCCTCAGTTTCTTTATCTGTAAAATGGGGAGAGAAAATGGAATCTACCTGAGAGTGGATGTGAGGATTATATGACATAGTATAAAATGGGTGGCAGAATGCTTACATTATAGATTATACATTGGCATTCAGAGCAGACTACAGTAAGTGCTCAGCAAATATTATTTATTGTCATCATTATTACTGACATCTGTACAGGGCTCAATGTAAGAGAAGGTCAAAGATACTCTCACAAAAAAGATGATGTTGTTCAGATATTTGGAAGAAACTGGTACATTTAAGTTAGGCAAAGGATTTATGTGCAAAGGAGGTAAAATAGGCAAAGGTTCAGACAGAGAGTGTATTGGGGAGGGTGTTGGAGTTTGCATTAGTCAGCTTCAGCTGCATAACAAAATTCAACAGACAGGTATTTTCTATAGTTCTGGAGGCTGGAAGTCCTAGATGAAGTTTCCAACTGATTCGGTTCCTGGTGAGGCCTTTTTTTTCTGGCTTGTAGATGACTTTGCCATGTCCTGCCACAGCCCTTCCCCTGTGCACATGCAGAGAGAGGTTGAGATCTCTGGTATCTCTTCCTTTTCTTACAAGAATATAACTCCACCCTCATTTATCCTTCATTACTTTCCTAAAGGTCCCATCTCTAAATTCAGTCACCTTGGGGGTTGGAGCTCCAAAATATGAATTTGGGTCTGGTGAAGGGGTGCAGACATTCAGTCTATCAGAATTGTTGGGCACCTGGATCTAACTCCAGTCCGTCCTTCCTTCCTAGCGATGTGACCTCAGGATCTATAAAGCCAGTCAATAATGGTTACTTCTTGGGACTTTTGCATAGATTAATTCAGGCATACATTGTTTTGGAGTGACAGAAAATGTTGAAGACTGTGGTTAGTTGGCGAAACAATGGAGCAGGTTTGGGGTCCCACTGAAGAAGGCAAACGTGAGGACAGGGACATTTCAGTTCCCTGTGAGCAGAGCAGGTGCCTATCCCAGAGGCTCGGGAGAGGTCAGTGCCCAGGTGTGTGCAGAAATTCTAACCTCTGTAAGTGAATCAGTCTGCGACTCCCACTTCTGTACCTGGGACAACCCAGCTGCAAGATCTGTTGGAACCTTTTGAATCACGAGATGCGGTATGTGCCACCAGCCCATCAGAACTGGACCCTGGCCTTCTGGTGAGTCCTTCCTCAGGTCTGTACAGCCTGCCTCCTTCCTCAGCAATACGTGAATAAAACCCAAAAAGGAAACCCAGACAAGCCAATGAGCCCAGACAGCGAGCGGATCACCGATGTGTCAATGCCAGGGATGACCGCTGGGGGTGCAGAATGGCAGTAGTCTGTCATGGTCATTGGGAGGGAGTTAGGCTGGCTCTGGACAATGTCAACGCTAATTGACAACTGCTAATTGACACGATGTTAAAAAAATCACTGCCTGTCTAAATTGTAGGTCAGTTCACACCAGGCTCAACAAGAGTCCCAAGCCAAGCCAAGCCAAGAAATATCCGTCCATGATTCAAAACTAATTGAAAAGGCAATTAAATTTTTTATTGTAGGGAATTTATGTGGAAGGCGTAAAAAAAATTAAAATTCCTTTATCTTGATTCACAGGCTCTTAGTGTCTTCCCCAGACTCGGCGTTCCCTGCTCCATCCTCCTGGCTGGCAGATCTCTCTGGCCCTGCCCCCCACCATGTAGTTAAATTACTTTCTTTTCCAAATTTGCACTATGTCTCTCCTCTATGCCAAGATCTGTGAATAAATGGCAGACCAGAGACACATGATTCTGGTTTTTTCCATAATCTTCCCTCACATCATTGAAATTTATTTATTTATTTTTGGTATCGGGAATTGAATCCAGGGGCGCTTAACCGCTGAGCCACATCCCCAGATCCTTTTTAATATTTTATTTGGAGACAGGGTCTCGCTGAGTTGCTTAGGGCCTTGCTAAGTTGCTGCGGCAGGCTTTGAACTCACGATCCTCCTGCCTCCGCCTCCTGAGCCCCAGGGATTATAGGCGTGGGCCACTGTGTGCGCAGCCTTATGGGAATTCAGCGAATGCACGGCCAGCTAAGCATACCTCATGTGCATACTTGATTGAGTTTTGACCAATACGTACAACTGAGAAAGCATCACTAGACTCAGACACATGGTCCTTGCTTCCTCAAGTTCATGTCCCTTGGTTGTGGGTATGTAGTATCTTCTCCACCCTCCCCTGAAGACCTCTGGGATCCGAGTCCTACGTGGACTTGTCACCTTGGAAAGGATCATCAGGACAAGAAAAATAGATCCAACTTTGGAAGGAACTTTAGAGGAAATCTGGCTGGTGTCTGGGGTTCTAGACTGTGAGGACCCCCCTCTACAGTACTCTTGGAAATAGCAGGCTTTGTTCTGGCTGACCCAACATGTCACCTGCAGGGGGCTGTGGCCTCTCCTGTGCAGGCATACCTCAGGGACATTTTGGGCTCAGTTCCAGACCCCTGCCATAAAGCAAGTCGTGTAAAAGTCTAGGTTTTCCAGGGCACATACGGGTTACATTTATGCTGGGCTTCAGGGTACAATTGTGCTATATCTTTAAAAAAAAAAAGCACATAAATTAATTAAAATACTTTATGACTTAAAAACGTTAATGATCATCTGAGCTGTTGAAAAAATGGTGCTGGTAGACTGCCCAGGGTTGGGCTTCCACCAACCTTTAAGACACAGTGTTGGCAAAGAGCAGTAAGATCAGGTCTATCCATTGACTAGGTGTCCAGTAGGTGCCCAATAAATAATCTGTGAATGGCGAATTCCTACCTGTAGGAGGCTTCCTGTTTCAATATTTTATAACTCTACTTTTTTTTTTTTTGGTACCGGGATTGAACTCAGAGGCCACATCCCCAGCCCTTTTGTGTATTTTATTTAGAGACAAGATCTCACGGAGTGGCTTAGCACCTTGCCGCCATAGCTGAGGCTGGCTTTGAACTTTGGTCTTCCTGCCTCAGCCTCCTGAGCTGCTGGGATTATAGGCCTGTGCCTGGCTACAACTCTAACTTTTAAAGATAATTTCATTTTGCAGTGTAGGCAGTAGAACCCAGGACCTCACACATGCTAGATAAGTGCTCTACCACTGAGCTCCACCCCAGCCCACTTTAGATCCTCAGACAATTCTTGATATTGAGCCCAAATCTGCCTCCCTAGAAGGTGACCTCATTGTTCTGAGTGCTACCTGCCCACGTTGGCACTGCTGACACAGCTGTTCTCTCTCAGATTGATCCTAAGACAATTTGGGAAACACCTTTTTAGGATTTGTCTTTGGTGTTTATTTCTGAGCCCTACCAGATCATTGAACTTGATGTGTTGTGTTAATATCAGTGTCCGGGAGTCTCTTCTGTGTTGGATTTGCAGTGATCCCACGTTTGGACTGACAGAGACTCAGGTGACGGGGAGGCAGTGGCGGGATTAGAGAAATTCTGTAGTCAGCTGAATGTTCCCCAGGGCTTCTCATTATGTGATTCTTAGATTGAAATTTGGTGCATAAATATTGTTGCCGTGGTTTATTTTTTTTAAATTCATTTATTCATTCATCAAACATTTATTTAGCACATGTGCCAAGCCTTATATTAACATTGTGACACCGTAATGAATGGGAAACCTCTTTTCTCAAGAACCTCAGCCCAGTGAAGAAAACGTCATAAAGATAAATAATTGCAGCCTAGGAAGAGTCACCCTATAAAAATCATCTTCATAAGACACAGAGGGTGTCCCAGGGAGGGAGGGCCAGCCTGCTTAGCATATGGAGTCGGGGAAGTCTTTACTGAGAACTGACACTTGAACTGGGTTTTGGAGGTAGAGCAGGTGGACGGTATTGAGAAAGGACTTGGAAGAAAAGACACAGAAAACGCAAAGGCTTGGGGTGAGCATGGAAACCAGGTCTGTCGTGGGGGAACAAGAGTGCGTATGTACAACAGGGTCAGAGTGTGTTTCAGTCAGTTTTCATCACGGTCACGAAAATACCTGACAAGAACAAAGTAGAGGAGGAAAAGTTTATTTGCTGGTCATGGTTTCAGAGGTCTCAGTTCGTAGATGGTGGACTCCATTAGTTCTGGACCTGGGGTAAGGTGGAGCATCATGGCAGAAGGGCACAGAGGAGTGCTGCAGTCTGGCTGGGCACAAAGTGCCACCACGAGGCACTTGTAGGTTCAAACTGGAACTACTTTATTGCCCGAACTCTCACTGGCACTCCACGCGCTCTCCCTGGGAACTCTCTCTGCCCTCCACTGGCTCCCAATAACTCAAGGGAACTCAACAGGAACTCCGCGAGTAGCGGGCGCCCAAGGCAGCAGGAGCCGCCCTATTGCTAGACAGCAGGGGTCCATATACAACTGAATACACAGCCTGTTTCAATCCAGTATCATCCAGTCACAGCAATTATACACAGCTTAATTATCTTCATCTTAATGGCTTGCTGGTCACCTCTCAACCACTCCTTCTGGTAAAATGCCAGGCGCCATTCCAATACAAACCCCAAAGGCTCGTCTCCCATGACCCACCTCCTCCAGCCACACCCACCTGCCATCAGTACCACCCTGCTAATCCACTCAAGTGGATTAAGCCATTGATTGGGTTAACCCTGTCAGTTCACCTCTAAACTTTCTTGCATTGTTTCATGCATGAGCCTCTGGGGGACGATGTCTCATCCAAGCCATAACAGAGCATGTGTGCAGGAGAAGTGACAGAATGGCAGCTGGGACAGATGGTAGAGGACAGGTCTGTCACCAGCTCAGAGCTACTTTTTGTTCTCAACAAATTTCTCTTCATTCCATATGCTTAATGGGGAATTATTGGCTTTAAGGAGATCAGAAAGGGATAACCAGACTTTTTAAAAAATCATCATAAAAAAATGTGGATATAGAACAAAGTTGAGAGATGGGAGAGAGAGTCCAACAGACGGACATTGTCGCTCTGACTCAGCTTTCCAGGGTTGGTGCGGTTCCTCCCTTCTCTTTTTTCCTGAAGTGTTTTAAAGCAAGCCTCAGACCTACTGGCCTTTTACCTCAACATACTTTGTGTCTCTCAAATAAAAAAGGTCATTTTCTTACCTAATCATGCTATTAACACACCTAACAAAATTAGTGCTATTTTCTCCTTTCATCTCATATATAATTTCTAATAAAAAAAATTCCCAGGTGTCTCAAAAGTATTTTTTAGGAGTTGGGTGGTTCAATCCCAACAGGGTGGTGGGAACACTAACTCTGGAGAATTAGCCTGAGAGAGGTGTCAGTGAGGGTGTCACGGCCGGCAGGTCCAGGACGGCTCCTGGTGATCCTTTCTCCTGGGGGCCATGTCCTTGACTAATGCCCCTCTGCTTGAGGGAGCAGGACCTGGTACTTGCTTTTTTTTGAGGAGGGGGGCCTGGGATTGAACCCAGGACCTTGTGCATGTGAGGAAAACACTCTACCAACTGAGCTATATCCCCAGCCCTAGGTGCTTGCTTTTAACCAAAAGAACACAGCAAATGTGAAGGGACATTATGCCTCTGCACCCAGGTTGCCTAAGAACCCCACCATGCTAGTGGATTCTCTCCTTTGCTGGCTTTGATGAAGTCAGCTGCGACATTTTTGAGTTTCCCAAGGGAGCAGACATGGGGCAAGGAGTTGGGGGTGTCCTCCAGCCCACAGCCCGCCAGGAACTGGGGCCCTCCATTCAAGAGCCTCCAAAGAGCCGGATCCTGCCACAACCCGAGTGCTTTAGAGGAGAGCTCAGGCCTGGGGGGCACCTGGACCCCACCTTTTGGAAAACCCTGGAACACAGGATCTGGCTCCTTGACCTATAGAAAGCGAGAGATTAAAAAATTATACAGATGTGTCCTGGTTTAAACTGCTGTGTGCATGGTCACTCATACACAGTAGGTAACCAGTGAAGATGTGCGTCCCTGCAGGTAACAGAAAACCCAACTAGCAGTGGCTTAAAGAATGTACCAGGAAATTAGTCCCGGTGCTATTTGATGACTGGTTTAGTGATGGCATCCTGTGCCTTGACCTTGACCTTCTGCTCTGTCATTGCCAGTGTGTTAGGGGACATGGAGGCCTCTGCTTCAGGCACCAAGTCCTGAGACAGTGACCAGGCTCTGAGGAGGAGGACACCCATCACACTCCTTGAGCATCTCATCTTCTGGAACTGGGCCAAACGCCCATACCTGGACCTAGGACCTGACAAAGGGAAGTCAAACTAGCTTGGGCTCATTATGGTTTGTATCCCGAGGCTGCCCGCTCGGGCACTTTAATAATCTTCATGCTTTATGAACAAGGAGGGCGGAGGAATGGCACTAGGCAGGCTGCCCTGGACCTGCCGGCCTCACTGCCTGTCCATGGGGCACAGATGACCTTCCCACACACTGGGCTGTCTTGGGCCCCTTCCCTCGGCCTGGCAGGGGCCTGGAGGAACGTCCTCTCCCTCTGGCTGAGGGCTCTGGTCACTGCCGGTCTCCACTGTTCCCTATTGTAATGTGTCTGATAGTAATTGATGTCCATTCTCATCCTGGGGTCTGGCAGAACATGTTGATTCCCCCCCTAACTCAGCTGAGAAAAATGCCCAAGGGGCCTAAGAGGCTGGTGCCCACTACATAATGAGCCAGGTGTCAACTCGGGTCTGTCATTACCTGCAATGTTAGCTTGGAAAATGACCTCTGTGAGCTTCCACCACCTTGACAGTAAAATGGGGATCTAATACCTGCTTCTCAGGGTTATTGTGAAGATTAAATTAGAAGCCACGTACTGAACATCTAGCACAGCACAG